GATCTAGAACTAGAAATACCATTTGACCCAGCCATCCCATTACTGGGTATATACCCAAAGGATTATAAATCATGCTGCTATAAAGACACACGCACACATATGTTTATTGAGGCACTATTCACAATAGCAAAGACTTAGAATCAACAGAAATTCCTATCAATTATAGACTGGATAAAGAAAATGTGGCACATATGCACATGGTATATACTATGCAGCCATAAAAATGATGAGTTAATGTCCTTTGCAGGCACATGGATGAAGCAGGAAACCATCATTCTGAGCAAACTATCGCAAGGACAGAAAACCAAATAGCACATATTCTCACTCAGGTGAGAATTGTACAATGAGAACACTTGGACACAGGGTGGGGAACATCACACACTGGGGCCTGTTGTGGGATGGGGTTAGGGGGAGGGATAGCATTAGGAGAAATACCTAATGCAAATGATGAGTTAATGGGTACAGCAAACCAATATGGCACATGTATATCTATATAACAAACTTGCATGTTGTGCACATGTACCCTAGAACTTAAAGTACATATATATAAAAAAAGTACAGATGACAGTAGGAAAATATCCCCCATTTGGTATTTGGAAGAGGACTGTTTAGTTTGTCTTGCTGTATATGAACTCACTAACAAACTACAAAGCTGTAAACTTGTTGGATACCTTTAAAATAAATTATGCATTAGAAATTATACACCTCAGAGAAATTCCCAGTGGCCTTGGATAAGAATAGTAAGAAAGACTTATGTCAGATTTTGGTTTGTTTGTTTGTTTTTTGAGACAGGATCTGGTCTCACTTTTTCACCCAGGCTGGAGTGCAGTGGTGTGACCTTGGCTCACTGCAGCCTCAACCTCCTGGGCTAAGGCGATCCTCCCGCCTCAGACCCCCAAGTAGCTGTGACTACAGACACATGCCATGCCTGGCTAATTTTTGTATTTTTTGTAGAGATGGGGTTTGGCATGTTGTCCAGGCTGGTTCTGTCAGATTTTAAGTGTCTATTGTATGAAATAGCTTATACAATCTATATCAGTGAAAGGTACTTGATTGTATTTCATTAATAAAAATTAAGTTTAAAACTGTATATAATTTCAGTTTTCTATAAATATTTCATTAAAACCGAACAGAAACATAAATCAAGTCCTATTCTCTCCCATGTGTGTGGAAATAAGAATAAATGCTTGTTTTCAGGGTGACAATATCCACATAGCAGGCCACTGGTTAGAGTCAACAGCAAAGAAGGAAAAGAGAATTTGTACATACTGTAAAAAGGGCACACATTCGTTCGATCTTCTCTGGGTTCCTTGGCCCACCATTCTTGTTCAGTCTTACCAGAAACCGCTCACTGAAATGTAGGAAAGAAAGATACAGAGAAATGTGAGTAACACACTCCAGAACAGAGGAAAAGGGCAGATAAGGAAAAACACTAAACATATTTACATAACAGCTTGCAGTGACAAGCAAGGCCAAAAACACATGTCTAGTGGCAGGATACCCTCTTTTTTCCTGCTAAGTAACATACAAAGGATACTACAAACTACCTGATAGGTGCTTCTGTTTATTTGCTGATTGTAGCTGTGTGTTTTATCTGTTTAAGGTGTGTGCTCCCTGAGAGCATTAAGGAGGGCAGTAATATCTCCCAGATATTCCCAAAGCACTGGCATGATGCAAAATCCATAACAAGCATATACATTCTTAGATGTGAGCACTCAGATCATAAAACCATTCATCATATTAGATCCGAAAGAATCTACATTACCAAATTTACATCTTCTATATCAGAAGTCCCCAATCCCCGGGCTGCAGACTGGTATGGGCCCGTGGCCTGTGAGGAACTGGGCCACACAGCAGGTGAGTGGCAGGTGGGCAAGTATTACCACCTGAGCTCTGCCTCCTGTCAGATCAGCAGTGGCATTAGATTTTCATAGGAGCACAAACCCTATTGTGAACTTCACGTGGAGGGATACAGGTTGTATGCTCTAACTAGTGCCTGATGATCTAAGGTAGAGCTAAGGTAGAACAGTTTCATAGAACAGTTTCATTCCAAAACCATCCCACACCACTGCCTCCACCCATCAGTCCATGGAAAAACTAGCTTCCATGAAATTGGTCACTGGTGCCAAAAACAATGGAGAATGCTGTTTTATATAACTCTTGAGAATCACTTTAGGGCAGCGGCATCCAATCTTTTGGCTTCCCTGGGTTGCATTGCTAGAAGCATTGTCTTGGGCCACGCATAAAATACACTAACACTAATGGTAGCTGATGAGCTAAAAAATAAAAATCAAAATTTAAAAAGTCTCACGATATTTTAAGAAAGTTTATGAATTTGTGTTGGGCTGCATTCAAAGCCATTGTGGGCTGCATGTAGCCTGTGGACTGCAGGTTGGACAAGCTTGCTTTAGGTCTTAAAAAATGTTACAGCAACACATAAAAACTTTGGTGGAAATTCAAAAAGAAATGATGTGTTATAGCTAAAGCTACAATCAGAATTTAATAGAGCCACTAACTATTTTATTCTCCAAATAATATACATAATTTCAGAAGAAAATTACAATTACTAGACTAGAAAACTTTAGAAACAGTGTTTGCAACGTTTGGAGAAATGTCTCTTTACTCTCGCATCTCCTTCCTGCCCCTGCGCAGAATCTCATTCCCATCTCTTTATCCGAAGATTCACTACCAGCTGTAAAGGAAAACTGTGCCATGGTGAAGACAAAGTATGTGATTCCAAAAGTAACTTACTTATTTTGTGCCTCCAGTCATATATTCATGGAATATATGTGGTATCAGTTTAGTTTGCTCATGTATTCATTTGATCAGTCTACAAATTGTTATTAAGTCCTGTGTACTTGGCATGTGAATATAAATGTGAACAAGACATATACAAGGTACTTTTTCCTCATACAGCTGTGGTCCTGGTAGGCAGTTAGACATGCAGAAATAAATCTCAGAAAGATTTGGGTCAGACATAAATTTGAGATTCTTCAGTCAGGGGAACAAACGGGAATAAGCAGGGAACATGCAAAGAACAAAGAGGAAAGGGGGCTTTGGTCAGAATGCTGAGGGACAATGACATTTAAGAAATGGGTAAAGAAAAACTATCAAAGTAGACACAGGGGCAAATGGAAAAACAGAAGAAAAATATGAAGGATGGTAAGATGTTGCACTGGTCAAGTGAAGAGAGTGTTTGAAAGAGGAGGGAGGGGTCAGCAAGGTCCAGGACCGTTGAGAGTCACATGTAACAAGGACAAAACTCTTGAACACAGATCACTGGTGATTCTGGCAAGAACTGTTTTAATGAAATGGTAGAGAAAGATGCCAGTGTAAGGAGTAAGAAAGAAATGATGAAGCACAGTCTAGACCACACTTTAAAGAATGATTGTGAAGAGGTGGAAGTGATGCATTTTTAGTTAAATGGGCATGTGGGGTTGAGGGAGGTCTTTGTTAAAATATGGGATAACCCATATATACAAAGTCGATTGATTTCAAATAAAGGTATCAAGGGGGGTGTACACCACGTTCAGCAAATGGTGCTGAACAATCTATATGAAAAAACTAAGCCTTGACCCTTGCTTTTAAAAATTAACTTGAATGTATCACAGGCTCGAATACAAGAGCTAAAACTATAAAAGAAGAAAACTCAGTGAAAAACGAAGACAAGTATCTTGTATATCTTTTTCACATTTGTTTCCACATTTAGCACATAGTAGAAAACTTTCTGCGGCCCGAGATTATTAAGCAAAAATCACAAATCACAACAAAATGATAAATTAGACTTAATTTAGACAGAAATTAAAAGTTTTCTTTTTAAAAGACACTAGTGAGAAAAGGAAAGGACAAGCTACAGACTGAGAGAAAATAATCACAAAACATTCACCTAAGAAAAAATTGTATTGAGAACATATAAAATGCCCAAAAAGAATAAACATTCAAATAAAAAATGGACACAAGATCTGAACAAACCCTTCACCAAAGGATGTGCAGAGATGGCAAATAAGCACAACAAAATATCATTAATCATTAGAGAAATGCAAATTAAAAACACAGTGAGGGCTGGGTGCAGTGGCTCACACTTGTAATCCCAGCACTTTAGGAGGGTGAGGCGGGTAGATCTCCTGAGGTCAGGAGATCAAGACCAGTCTGGCCAACATGGTGAAATCGCATCTCTACTAAAAATACAAAAATTAGCCAGTCATGGTGGTGGGCGCCTGTAATCCCAGCTACTCAGGAGGCTGAGGCAGAAGAATCGCTTGAACCCAGGGGGCAGAGGTTGCAGTGGGCCTAGATCGCGCCACTGCACTCCAGCCTGGGCAAAACAGCAAAACTCCATTACAAAAAAAAACAAAAAACACAGATACCATTACACACCTACTAGAATAGCTATAATTAAAGAAGAATATACTGGCCAGGCGCAGTGGTTCACGCCTGTAATCCCAGCACTCTGAGAGGCCGAGGCAGGCAGATCACTTGAGGTCAGGAGTTCGAGCCCAGCCTGGCTCGAACATGACGAAAACTCGTCTCTACTAAAAACATAAAAATTAGCCGGGCATGGTGGCATGTGCCTGTAATCCCAGCTGCTCTGCTCTGGAGGCTGAGGCAGGAGAATCACTTAAACCCAGGAGGCAGAGGTTGTAATGAGCCGAGATTATGCCATTGCACTCTAGCACGGGCAACAAGAGAGAAACTCTGTCT